CAATTTATTGCCCCTTTATTAAAGTGGTATATAAACTTCCAAGTCGAACCACCTCTGTGGGTTTTCACTTCTTTTCTGTGAAGTTACAGGCATGTAAAAATATTAACATCAATAAAGAAAGATAGACCTTTTCTCCTGTTACTCCAGCTCTTGTGAATTTAATTTGCAGGCATCAGGAACTGAGTCTAAGAGAATAGAAGAAAAGTTTTATCTTCCCTTACAGTGGCAAAATTAAGACTAAGATTCCTTGGTCTTTTACTACCCTGTTTGGCACCGAAAAGAAAATGAAAGGCAAAGTCATACTCTATTTATGAAAGATTCTTAATATAGTCCAAAATTTATCACTTTGTATAATTTTTATATTTCTGTTTCTTATTGAAAAGGTTTGCAAAAATAAAGTGGAGAAATTTAATTAAAATTAGGTGTACTTGAAATTATTGAGGGCACTATTTTCATTGATTCAGCTTCAAAATTGTCACTGGACAATTTTCATATAATAATCAAGTCAGAAAAAAATGCTGGTTTAACCGTCCTCCCTTTGCCCAGATGGCAAGTGTTTAGGCAAATGAGTATAGGATAGTGGATAAAAGCTCAGGTTTTAGAATCATATGGACCTGGGTCATGCAGTAAGTTATTACATAAAGGGTGGTTATGAGCGCTTTGACATTATTTTTAGTATATATTGACCCAGCAGACAATTGCTCGGGAGTCCTGAAATTTCAACCTGATATTTATCTTAGTCTTTTGAAAAGCCGTGTATTTCTGCAGCTTCATTTAAGTGATTGTTGAAAATCCAAAAGAGATAAGAGTAGGATGAGCTTCAGTGCTTGGTTTTCTGCTTTCCTAAATGAAGTCCAGCCTATATTTTTAGAGAAAGTTCTGTATTTTTCATAACCAGAGCAAGAAGCTGATGGAATCCTTTTGGTACTGTGCATTAGAAGTGAACTGACTTGAGAAGGCCTATACGGCTTATTAATGCTAAAAAGGTGCCATCAAAGGTGAAGACCATAGCTAGGGTCAAGTAGTTAAAATCTTAAACATCCCTAATGACTTCTTTTAAGTCATTGCTATTCCTTACAAAAACAAACTAGCGCTAGATTAAGTGCGGGGCACTCACATTACAAATGATACCCGTCATCTGGATTTCTCATTATGGAGCTTCTGCCAAGTTCAGACTCTTTGCCAAGGATGATTTAACCATTCAGAGTGTCAAACTGACCTTGTACTTGAGGATGGGGGTGGGGAGAAGCTGAATTGCCTAAGCATTGTTTTCTTGAATTCTAAAATATTGAGGAGATGAAGCCATAAGTTCGACGACCTTTCTTCACCAACATAGTTAAAATCTACACCCTACATAATTATACTATTGAAACTGTGTGCGCTGGATATTAAATCAAACAAATACTTTTTAAGAAAGGTTTTAGAGGGGGCGCCTGGGTGGCTCAGTTGGTTAAGCGACTGCCTTCGGCTCAGGTCATGATCCTGGAGCCCCAGGATTGAGTCCCGCATCGGGCTCCCTGCTTGGCGGGGAGTCTGCTTCTCCCTCTGCCCCTCCCCCCTCTCATGTGCTCTCTCTCATTCTCTCTCTCTGAAATAAATAAATAAAATCTTAAAAAAAAAAAAAAAAGAAAGGTTTTAGAGGACAGTGGGAAAAAAACAGAGATAAATGGATTAAACCCCAGAGTTGGCAAAATTAAATACGATGATTGCTTAACTGTAGGTGTCTGCTTATGTGTGTGTATGCTTTTTGTTTTTTTTTTTTAACTCTGAAAATATTAGGCTTCAGTGGTAGGCTTGCAGAATGGGAATGAAAGAATGTCTGAGCTTTGAGTCTACAATTTTGAATGCATTCAAAAATAAGGTCGTAAGTCCTCTTCAACATTAGTAAGCACTAATAATTAGTTTTAAATGCTTCTTTGTCACTCTGCTATTAGACTGGTAGATATCATTGCTGTAGAGCTAATGGAACAAAACTGCCTCATTATTAAAGTAATTAGAAGTGTTACCTAATGAGGGTTGTCATCTTTAGGCTGAATAGAATGCATGTCCTGGTTAAGGTTAAAGTGTTCTTAAAATATTCTTGAAGTAGTCTGTTATTTATAGTGTCTAGATAATGCTTCTGTGGGGAAGGGAGTAAGTCTTGCTAAGTTCTACAACACACACACTGAAGTGGGCTTTCTCAAACCACAGAGGGTGGCCTAGAGTAAAGCTGCTCTCAGTGAGGACACAAAGATGGTTAAGTGAAATTCACAAGAATCTCCCTCTTACCCGAACTGTTTTAGGCCTGGCATGTGTTGATAAGGAATTATAAACCTGCTTTTGAGGTCCCAGCTTGTCGAATTACACATGATGATGGTTTCCCCACCGTTTCTGGCTTCCCTTTCAGCCCACCAAAGTCCCAGAGAGAACTTTGGGACAATTTTATCAGTAATAGCGCATCTCCTTTTCATGACCGTCTACCAGATGCCAGGAACTGTTTTGCACATTATCAAATTTATTATCACGCAAATGTTATGAGCAAGGTTTTAACCCATTTACCAATTAGGACGGAAAGAAAATTTAAGTAGAGTAACTGTCCCACTGTCCCTTATCCACGGTTTCAGTTACTTGAGGTCAGTAGTCCGAATATATTAAATGGAAAATTCCAGAGATAAACAATACATTGGCTTTAAATTGCCTGCTCTTCTGAGTGGTGTGATGAAACCTTACGTAATCCCACTGTCCCTTCCAGGATGTGAATCATCCCTCTGTCCAGTGTATCCTCATACTATAGGCTGTTTACCCAGTAGTCACTTAGTAGCCGTCTTGGGGTTATCAGATTGGTTGTTACACTATTACAGTGGTTGTATTCAAGTAACCTTAATTTGACTTAATTATGGCCTTGAAGTGCAAAAGTAGTCATGCTGGCAATTAGAAGATGCTCAAGAGAAGCCCATAAAGTGCTTGACTTAACTAAGGAAAGAAAAAATATTGTATGTTGAGGTTGCTGAGATCTATGGTAACATTTATTGCAGTATATTATTATAATTGTTCTATTTTGCTATTAGTTAGTGTTACTCTTACTGTACCTAATTTATAAATTAGACTTTCTCATAGGTATGTATGTATGTATAGGACAAAGCACTGTATATATAGGGTTTGGTCCTATCTGAAGTCTTTGGATCCACTGGGGGTCTTGGAACATGTTCCCTTCGGATAAGGGGAGGTTGCTGTCTATGGCTTAAGACTGCACAACTACTATTCAGCGGAAGTGAGGTTTAAATTGGGCCTGCTTCCCTCCAAAGCCCAGTTTTCTACTGCAGCCTACCGTCCATGCTTGCCCACGCTTGTCCCCATCAGTTACGCTAGCAACATAGATAGTTACTTCCTTCACAGTGTCTTATTTATTTACTTTTGTGGTTATGAATTTAGAAGAGGCTGTAGAATCTTTGATTCAAGTTTTTTTCATTTGCTTTTAAATGAAAGCTAATTTGGAAGAACAGCTTGAATGGAGCCTTGCTCAGAAGCTGCTCTGTGAGCCTCTCATTCCAGGAACCACCAGTAAACTTGACATTCATTCATTCATTCATTCATTCATTCATAAGTTGCCTGCTAAGAAAGAGGTTTGAGAACCCAGTTAAAAGCAGTCAGTGCTAGGTCACTACTGCATGCTTTTATTTACCAGACCAATTAATTGCCCTTAGATTCTAAAGGTGATTTTCAAGTGGTCTTGAGAAGGTTAAAAAGTAATTAGCTATGCTGTTTTTTTGAATAATCAGGAAGTTTCAATATCTGGATAGGACTTGAGAAGTTCAAGACGTGCACAGCCTCTGAGCCTTTCAGTTTGTGCCTTTTTCTTTTTATTCTTAATCTACTTGTCCCAACACCTCTTTGTTTATTTTGGTGCTGAATAAATTTGCAACTCATTGTTTATATTGTTAAGAGTGGTTGAACTATCTTCCCCTAGTTGAAGGACACAACTCTGCTAGGGGCAAAACTGTAAAAAAGTAAAGTTTATCCTTGGCACCTTTGTAATCTGCCTCACCTCTAGCTCCCAGTCTCAGCCTTTTAATTGTTTTCTATTTCCTGTGCCCAGTGGTGTCCTATTTCCCCCTCTCCTGTCCAGGATAAAATATTTAATACACTCATTCATACTCAAAGATCCTAAATTAATAATATACTTCCTAGTAGTTTGGTTTTCCTTCTGATTTACCAGAAAAACCTAGGGAGAGGATCAGTAATTGTTTCAAAGATACAAAGGACTAACTGTAGTGAGCAAAAGCTGTAAATGTTGTGTTTGTGTGTTTAAATCACCCCCCCCCCCCCCCCCGCTTTTGGGAAGACATGCTTCTCCCACTCAATGCCAGGGATGGGCAAGTGGCAAAATGGGCTAATTCTGGGGACTTCATCTTCCCGGCAATAGCGACTAGCTCAGATCCTTCTGTGCTTGAGATATTAAGCCAAAAGTCCCTTATTGGAATCAGCATAAGATAGAGGGAGAAAATTGTTCTTTCTGTTGGGATTGCTAAAACAGATATGTGTACAAATGAAGTGCCTGGGAAATCATTTTTGGACCCATGGAAGAGGCTCCTATGCAGTGGGAAGGAAGAAAGTCAGCCCACAGAAAGGAGAACCAAGACGTGGAGAGACAGCTCTGCCATTTTGAGTCCTTTTAAGCCAATCTAGCTGTACTTGAAATTAGATTCACGTGTACCACTCAAACGGTGTGTTTGTGCATATTGTATGTGTATGTTATTCACACCATCCCTCCCTTACGTGGAACCACACTTTTCCTACTCAATAGCAGGGATGGGTATATGAATCAGGATGGCTAGGCTTTCCAGTTATGGTGAGTTGCAAACCACTAATTTCCATTCCACTTTTGGGGGGATAGGGATTGGGTCTTGAGCTAGTTTGATTCAAGTTTTTTGGTATTTGGAATTGAAAGGATCCTGACTGATACATTTTTGAGGGAAACATTTCTGGGTGGACAATGTTCCTGTTGCCTCTCTTACCTTAGGAATGTTGATTTGCTGCTGGCTTGAATAATCATTCTATGCTGACATTGCAATCTGCAGTTCTTTGCTGGTAGACAGCTGGATGTGTTTTTCACCATTTCTTGTTGACATATTCAATATGATTTAATTCGATCTACTTCAGTTTAGTTCACTTTAATGAATGTGGACTAGGTGCTCCATGAGGTCCTTTTCTAGAAAGTAAGCAGTAAACCGTTTGGATGTCATATTAAAGTGCAACGGTTCTTCCACTTAGGGGGGTTTGGAAAGTATGAGCTCCATTTCAGATTTTGTATAGCAATCTACTACACATCTTTTAGGTCCATCTGTTGAGCATTGATAAAAATCAATGACTTACCACTGTTTTGACCTTTGATACAACTCTGAGGTCTTTAGTAAGTAGCAGATGGGATTGGTGATTACAAGCTGATACTTGAGAAATTCACTGAAAGAAAAAAGGTCATTAACATTGATATTTCTAGTCCTGGGTGGTCATATGACTTTTTCAACATTATTGCCAACACTCCAATTAATGAAAGACTATACAAACATGAAAGTACGAATGCTCTGGTTCTTGTTTTGAATTTCTATTTATTCTGAGTGATTGTGACTGTGTATTTATTTATATGTGTGCATGTAAACTCACACAATTCTTTATACAGAATCTATAAATAGTTATATTAACCATCCAAGTTAGATATCACACGGATTCCAGTGGAAGAAAAGATCACACTGGTGGGGCTGTTATAACTTTCCTATTACTACTCACTTGCTCTTTTATTTTCTCACATGATTTTGTTGGTATTTGGAATTGAAAGGATCCTGACACATCAACGTTGACATTGAGTGTGACTAAGTCTTTGCCTTGAGGACCTTCCATTCTCTTAGTCACTGACTTTTACTTTCCATCCAGGAGCTGGGGTCCTCCTGGCTCACGGTGCAGTGAGGGGTCCTGGAAGAGAGACCCCAGTCATGACAGTAGTCCTTCCCTGTGGTTGCTGCTGCTGTGCTAGGCGCCAAAACCATGTCTGAGCTTATCAGCTGAGGACTTCCTCAAACTCGCTTTTATGAGGCTCAGTCTTACATTGGCTCAAACCATACAAAATCAGTCAGTGGACAGTGAAAAACGTAGGCAATCAGCTGGAACTTTTTTGTAAAGATTAGTAAATAATCAGTTTGGGTGCTTGTTTTTTCAACTTAATTGCGTTGGGTTGAAGCTATATCTTATACAGCAAAACCCAGCATGCCTTCTTTGGTTGACTTGACAGGTCAAGAAAGTCCTATGGAAAAAAAAAGTCTGAATTCTGTGTATTGATTCAAATTAAAATCACTGCTTCATTCTTTTGGTGACTGATTAGAGTTGAATCTTAATTTTTATGTCATGAGATAAAGTCTTCAATGATAAGAATTATTTTAGTAGTTAAGAGCCTTTAACAAGAGAAAATAGGGTCTTTTGTCATTAGCTTAAAGATTGAGTTTCTTCCTTTTTTTTTTTTTAAGGTTTCATTTATTTATTTGAGAGAGACAGAGCACGAGAGAGAGCATGAAGGAGAGCACGAGCAGGGACAGTGGGAGAAGGAGAAGCAGACTCCCCTGCCGAGCAGGGAGCCTGACGCAGGACTCAATCCCAGGACCTTGGGATCATGGCCTGAGCCGAAGGCAGGTGCTTCTCGGACTGAGCCACCCAGGCACCTGAAGACTGAGTTTCTTAATCAGTTGTATAGTAGACTGTGACAATACATGTCAATTATACTGATTATTTTGATGATAATTATTTGCATATTTATGAGAAAAAACCCCAGGAATTAGCTTAGTTAAAAACCAACTATTTTCTTTTCTCAAAATGACATCACTTAAATTGTAACTTCTCTTTTTTAAAAAAATTGTAACTTTTCGGGGCGCCTGGGTGGCTCAGTCGTTAAGCATCTGCCTTCGGCTCAGGTCATGATCCCAGGGTCCCGGGATCCAGCTCCACATCAGGCTCCCTGCTGGGTGGGAAGCCTGCTCCTCCCTCTCCCACTCCCCCTGCTTGTGTTCCCTCTCTTGCTGTGTCTCTCTCTGTCAAATAAATAAATAAAATCTTAAAAAAAAAATTGTAACTTTTCAATGAGTTATTTTGACTTTACAAATGTATAGGTTTATGTATAGAAATCTGTCTCTTTAAATGATTAGATCAAGTTGATTGGGGATCACCCATTATGATACTTGAAAAAAGTAATTGGTGATTATGATTCTAATACCAATTCCATTGTGTGTGTGTTTTTCCATACCACTAAGCAAATCTCCAGTATCAGTTGGGTGTCCTACAACTCAATGAAATTCTGACACTATATACCTGGAGATAGCATCAGATCTCATAGGTTAGGGGCTCAGTCTACAGGGCTGCCCCCACTGTTAGATGTCAATTATCTGACCCATCAGCTATAGATCAGAGGTTCCCATGACCCCTCCTTGGTTTTGATTAATTTGGTAGAACTTTCACAGAACCTAGAGAAATTTTCCTTTAAATAATTATGTTGTTTTTTGTGTTTTTTGGTTTTTGGTTTTTTTTCATACATTACAATTTTATTTTTGTGTACACATTTGTTTAACAGTCACTGAATTTCTAGGCCAGGTTCAGGTAACTGAAGGGCCTTTATAATTAGCTTATATTGTCTAGATCCAAGGTATGCTGCAAACATAGTCTGGAGCAAAATGGGAAATGACATCTTTCTAAAGACAGGCTTAGAAATTCTAGTCCAGTAAGTTAAGATGTTTCCTTTCTTTGGTAGCAGGGCTGACTCATATCTGGCTGTGAGGCCGCCATTCACAGGTATAGCCAAGATAACAGGGTGCAGACCACCAGAAACGAGACCAACCAATCCACCCCATGTTATTGTACAGGTTTCACAATTCAAATCACCCGTATTCAAAGGTAAACTTATAAAACCTTTGTAAGATATGTGCACAGTCAAAAATGGGATCACTGCCATTGGTAAACCAGCGTCACATTTAGGATGCATCGAAAAAGACTATTTACTATTAGACCACAGAGACCAGCATTAAGTCCAACATATGCTGATCCATGTTCAAACGGATTCCTTTCTGCTTCTGGGAGTTGGTTAATTTTTTCTGGTTATGATATTGAAAATTAAGTCTTCCTTGACAGTATCATTTGGTTCATGATTTTCCATCTTGAGCCTTAAAATATTTTTCAATAATAGATACCTTTTTTTCCGGGATGCGAGTAACTTATGCTCTCCTCACAGCAGGTGGTGCCTCCACCCGGCCTCGGCGACCACGACGGGGCTCACTCCAACCTTTGCTCAACCTACCCTGAGTGCAGCCATCTTTGGCTCACGTTTTTTTTTTTTTTAAGAGAGAGAGAGAGCACGGGGGGTGAGGGGTAGAGGGAGACGGAGAGAGAGAATCTCAAGCAGACTCCCCACTCAGCATGGAGCCGGACTCAGAGCTCAATCTAACCACCCTGAGATCATGACCTGAGCTGAAACCAACAGTCGGATGCTCAACTGACTGAACCACCCAAGCGCCCCAGGACTTAGAGAAAATTTTACCTACTGGTTTTATCATTGGTTTCTTATAATAGGATATAACTCAAGATAGCCATATGCATGAGTTGTATAGGACAAGTTGTGTGGGAAGGGGTGCAGAGCTTCCATGCTTCACTCTTTCAATACCACCACATGTTCATCAACCAGAGGCTCTCTGGGTCCCTGGCCTTTTGGGTTTTTAGGTAGGTCTCATTACTTAGGCTTGGCCATGGGTGAATGAACTCGATCTCCAGCCCTCTGCCCACCAGGGAGCTTAGTGGGGAGACTGAAAATTCCAGTCTTCCAAACACATGGCTGGCACCACTGGCAACCAGCCCCCATGCTTAGGTACTTTCCAAAAGTCATCTCATTAACATAACAAAAGACACCTTTGTGGTTCTCATCACAGGAAATTCCAAGGTTTTAGAAGTTTCGTGCCTGGAATGAGAACAAAGACCAAATAGACATTTCTTATTTTAAGTCATGATATCAAGATAGTGTATCCAATAAATGAATCATGGAATGATGTAAAATGCAATGTAACAGTTCAATGGATATAAAGGTATAAAAACTGTGAAATATGGTTCTTGACCCTGAAGAATTTATAATCTACTTGAGGAGGATTTGTGGACACCCATGTACACACACAAGATAGACTTTGGATGATAAATAAATGTTGTAGTGAGAAGTGTAGAGAACTATGAAATAATCCCAGAGGGCTAAAATGACCAGGGACTAGAGATGGGGCTTTTAGGATGAAATATTCATGTAATTGAAGAGGGAGAAGAAAATCCTATGGGGGGAAAGATCATAAAATGAGTTCTTACTCCTCTCACAGAGGAATAATATAGCAGTATTAGCAAAGTAAAGAAAGAAGGAAAAGATTTTAATGAAAGGTCAGAGAAGTGGCCTAACATCTTCAATTGAATCTATGTTATTTATAATTTTTTTCTATCCACATACTAGCTCAGTGTTTCTCACTAACTAAATTAACAAGCTATTTGATTAAATCAAAAGGTCAGGGGGTACTCTGAATATCTATAGGTGTATAATAAATCATCCCAAAACTTAGTGGTATAAAACAGCAATATATATTTATAATCTCTGATGGTTTCTGTGGGCCAGGAATTTGGGAAGGGCTTGATTGGGTGGTTCTGGCTCTGGGTCTCTTATGTGATTGCAGGCAGATGTTAGCTAGGGCTGGAAGAGCAGGACAGAGGGAGGCTACAGAAGCTGGAGGGTGGCCAGGCTCCTCTTCTGGATTCTCAGAGCCGCTCCATGTGGTCTGCCCACACAGGTGAGTTTGGGCTGCCTCACAACATGGTAGCCCCGGGACAGCCAGACTCTAAACATGGCTGCTGGAAGAGGAGAATTCTAACAAATCCAAAGCATCATTGCCCATCCTCTACAGTCCAGCCCTGCAGGTCACAGAGCATCACGGCCACCATATAATCACACTGCATCCAGTTTCAAGAGGAGGGAGCATAGACTCCATCTCTTCAGATCAAAGCTCGGTTGCGAGAAATGGTTATGGAATAGAAGATACTGTTTTGCCCATTTTAGAAACTATAATCTACTATGATAGATCATTTGAGGCATTTTGTTTGATTAAGCACTGTCCTCCAGGAGCAAGAAATTAGTAGAAAAACCTCAAACATGTGATACTTGTGTTAGTTGGCTGAAATGTATAGATAATATGCATTCAAAAGAGTAGATAGCGCTCATATATATATATATACACTAGTGATCCAAATAACCCATCTCCCATCCCTAATTCATGGCTACTGGTCCATAAAAATAATAAAACCTTTGGAGATTGGCCCTATTGATAATAGAAATGAAAAGTCGTCTTTAATACACCTCACAGGGTTTTAACATTTCATTTTCTTATTTATCCTTCATTTGAATCAAAGCCCAACCTGGTAGTGTTTCACAGCAATTTCCTTTAGGCTGGATTGATGTTTTTTGCTAATGAGACTGAGCAATCAAAACCATAATCTGCATTCCTGAGACTTGGCCTCATGCATTTTAAAACATAGCTAAGGGTTAAATAGACTTCTGAAACAAAATAGTCTTTTTGTTATTGTTGTTGTTATTATTATTTTAAACATGAAGCTTCATGTTCCAAAAATATTTATGTCCTTTCATAAGAAAGGGCACTCCTCCTTGACGTTCTCAAACATGAGCCAGAAAAGACATTACTGAACACCATCCTTTCACCTAAATGGGGAATAGGGTTTCTCTTCATTTGCTGGTGCTTTTTGTTTTTCAAGAGAAACATTATCTTGTCTCTGCTTTGGGCTTCTTTGCCTTGTCTTCCATTCTTTCAGGATGAAATAACAGAGAAACATCAGCTACAAATGCATGTGGTTAACCAGCATTCACCCCAGTTTTTCACTTAGGACTGACTCAGATTACTCCTCCCCATGCTTCCCAGCTGTCTAAAATTATCATAAAGGTAAAACTTGGGTTTGTGCACTTTCCCTTCGTGCCCTTCCCCCCCGCCCCCAGTGGGGTCCTACTTCATGCGGGATCATTAGTGTTTTAACAAGGGGGCAGTCCATATAATACGAACTATTGTTTAAACAAGACAAATCAAAGACCTTCATAGAAGGTCCATGGCACGGTGTTTGCCTGTTACAAATATCCCCTGTGTATAACAAGATTATAATTAAGTCCTTGGGGTTAATATCCCAAATCTAGATGCCATCCCTAGAGTTATGATTTGGAATGAGAGCTGCTTGATTTGACATCAAGAATAAAGAACTAAAAACACAATTTTCTAAGAAGTACTTTTTTTTTTTTAAACAGTCAGCATTTCCAATCATCAGGTTAGACAAGATTGTTACAAGCTTACTATTCAACTAGTAATACCTTTAAGTATTTCTCCTTATGTCT